CCCACAATGTGATTCTGGATAGTGCTTAGTACGAAGGTATCGCCACATTCCGCAACAACTGCTCTTTGTGAGAACCACCGGCTACGTTGTTGGTCTTCTTGAGCCGAAGATATAATATGTCATCAAGACAGTCTTCACTAGCCAAATCTATGACGATAGAAATTGAAAAAGTGTCCGTACTACCTTCGAGGTAGATTAATGATATGAACATATTAAAAGGAATAAAGGATAATGGTCTGGAATTTGCTCAGAAATGTTGGGTGTAAGTGCATAGGCAAACCCAGTGGATATCAGTAGGAATAGGAGATCAGAGAGTGGGAAATGATGTGTACAATACGGGGTAGTGGAGATGCGCTCATACGCGAGAGACAAAAGCAGCCAAAGAAGGCACTTCAGTCAAAACGATGAAAATAGAAGTTGGTGTGTTTACCTCATTCCTTCTTCTTCTTATCCGACTCTGATTCAGACTTTCCAAACCAGCTCGTCAGCGATGCAATTCCACCACTGCCGACCTGCTCACTTGACTGCCGACGGAGCTCACGCGCTCGTTCCCGCTCAGCCTTGTACTCGTCCCAGGATAGATTAGCCGCCGCAGCAGCACGAACTTCCTCCTCTTCCCGGGGAGGGAGGCTCTTGCCTGGCAGTGGGCGGACGGCTGCTTCGCCGCCGTAAGCACGAAGACCAGTGCGGAAGGCCCATTCAACGGCCTCGTCGACAGGATGATCGAAAATGTAGGGAAGGAAGGGGACAACGGCAAGACCAAGCTATAAGAAACAGGCGTTAGCATCGTCGGTTTACGTTTTTCAACCGAAAGGAAACGGGACATACCCCGATCGGCGTCCAGGTACGAATAAACGCAATCTTGACACCCTTCACCATCTGCCCAGAGTAGCGGACCACACTGTGGATTGTGAATGCGGGCAATCCCATACTTGCGATACTTTGGAACACAGCGCGCTTGGCCATGACCATGCGGTAGTCCTCTGCAAGCGGGATCTCGGCGGTCGGCCAGTCTAAAATCCCACCCTTAGACTCGGCTTTGTTGCCAATCGTCATATTTCCCGTTGCCATGCCCTTGATAATCTGGTTCTGCGAAGGCTGGCTAGCATCCTTGTATGCCTCGCCGGTGGGAGCCAGTGCTTTCCAGTTTCGGAGATAGGCCTTGTAGCCTTCGTGACCAACATCGCCTAGCAGGTATGTCCAGGAGATAGTGTAGGCGGAGCGCACGAGCCACGGGTGTGCAATCGGACGGAAGGACTCGCCAATGTCTGAGGTATATGCGACATAGCGATGGGCAGATAGGAGGATCGTGCGGATACGGTTGGCGTACGCGGCATAGCGGTACCCTGTCTCTGTGGAGTTGACCGAGCTGCCATCAACCGAGGTGCTCATCGTTAGTTTTGTTTTGTTTTGTTTTTTTATCTTTCTTCTTATTTTCTTTGTCTTCGCTTGCTTTTGGCGTTGCGTTGGATTTGCTCAAGGTGAGTTTGCAGAGTAGTATGTCATTGACTCAAGCCGGGAAGTACCGTTCGATGGCCTTCTTTTTCAGGCTCTCTTCTCCCCTCAGACTCTCTGAGCACGCGACAACAATTTGCTTGGGACCAAAAGATAATTTAGAAAAATCAGAATTTCACATACTATTGGGAATAAAGGTCATCATAGAATTCATCCTCGTGATCAACCAACTGTTGCAATTTTGCGGGGAGCTTCTCTCGGACTACAGGCTTATCCAACAACTCCTGCGGGGGAGACTGGGGTTCATCCTGCTGACGACCGCCCCAGACCATTGCAAATATCGTATGGTATGGTCAGTGAAGACTTATGTAGTTGTTTTGAACAAATCAATGCTAATTTGCGTGCCAAATGAGGGGAATTCAAGTTAAAGGGGGTATATAATATGAAGAAAGTAAAAGAGAAGGATGAGGGAAAGCTATGCAAAGAAGGAAACAAGTTATTATTAGAAGATTCTCATATTAACCGCACTCAACAGCCGAAGACACAGCCATAGCCGGGATATACAGCATTAGCTGTGGGATGATTTCCTCCGAGGTACCGTTGGTCTCCTCCGGCTCAGGATCTGGGGTAGAAGTAATATTGTTGTACGGCATGATGTCTCAGGCCCGAACTCGACATTGATTGTTCATTGTTGAAGCTTTTTAATCGAGCTTTAGCTTGTCTTGAATTTATGCCTCATCAGGTTCCAACAAAGCTTTTCGGTGTTTTCGTGTTGTAACTGATCTTCATATGCTAATGCACCTGGTGACGTTCGTTCCGGGGAGGTCACATGACATCGGATGCAGCCGGGTGACCGAGTGTCCTTACCTAATCATCCACAGTTCCGAAGTCATGTGAATTGTCTAACTAGATTAGGAAAGGCGGTATCCGTGCCGACCTCGTCGTTCGGTCCAAGCCTGAGGATTCCGTCCACATCGCTGCCAATTGAACCTCTCGCTGTACCTTAATTCCAACCCTACAAAATGGTTGTCTACTACCAGATCGCCGGCAAGAAGGTCGGCTCCCACGTCGTAAGTTTATTCTACCCTGGAAAAGCCGCCGCGCGCTCGCTATCCCTTTCTCTTCGCGCTTCGTGCGGGTACTTGTGAGACATGAAAGTTGACCGTGTTCCCTCCACCCTCAATAGCTTGCCATGGCCACCCTCGGCAGCTTGTTCGCCGGTTCTTACCTCGCCGCTTCCGGTGGTGAGAAGCCCAAGACCGCTCAGGGTCCTCCCATCAACGCCTCCTCCAAGGATGAGGAGAACTTCGTCCAGTATGTCCCACACCATCGCAGAGAACCGAGAACCGTTGACCACCAGTCAGATCCCAATATTAGCCTGGAGCGTGTTACTGACTACGTATCTCACAGGAACTTCATGAAGGAGGTCGATGGCGGCGAGAAGAAGCCCGCCGCTGGTCACTAAACCACCCATCGATACGGTTTATATTGATGGAGCGGTCGAACATGAGCAGCTAGGATTATGATTCAAACAAACTGCCTCCGCTCTCGTGCCATTTTTAGCGCGCAATGACGTGTATCCGCCCTTCCGCAGCGATTTTTGTGACCATGGTTTTTTCGAGAAGCTACACGGACTGATTTTGGGATGTCGGCGGATGAGGTTGATTGATCTGTACATAGGAGGCGTGTACGCTGCATAGAAAATTATCCTCTTGACATCAGCTTTTCAGGTCGGTTCTTTCCCTTGCCATTGAGCATGATCAATCAGGCGAGTGGTACGATTGCTTCAACGTAATCCAGCACCGGGTTGCTCGGAGTCTGTGCTTGACAAGAGCCCTCCGTGGATTTGTACCCTGGTATGAATATTGCTCTCTGCGGCTCCGATCGGCTTGCTTGTCTGGCCAGTGGGAGCGATGTAGCAAGGAGGGGCCGTAGAGCAAAACGAGATGTAGATGTAATTAGCATAGAACAAGCAGCTCTGAAGCAACTATAATAGTCACACGCGACATCCAAACAGGACCAGGGACCTTCCAATAAGTTAATCTGCTACTCAACTCAGTCTCGAAAAGCTTAACGGTTAACCCGAGGTCTCCAGGACCTCCGCCGCAACCCTCCCACCTACCACTTCACCCTCACAACAACTCCCCGAACACCCCCAACCAACAACCAGAAAACCCAAAATGAAACCCATCCCCTTCCCATTCCCCCTGAACATTGGCACAGACATAGTTCACATCCCGCGGATAACCCGCCTCCTCACTCGACCCAACTACCTTCCACGATTCACGCGCCGCATCCTTTGCGACCAAGAACAACACGACTTCCACACGCGCTTCAGCGAAGTCCTCAAAGCGCGCACCGCATACCACCAGTATCCTCCACCCGTGCCGGCGGACATAACACGCTGGCTGGCGGGCCGCTTCGCAGCGAAGGAGGCGGCGCGCAAAGCGGCGCCGTCTGGTGCGGCTTCGATTGGCTGGAAGGATGTCATGGTCCGGATACAGGGGGATGGGGGAAGGTTTGGCGAGGGTGTGAGTCGGAGACCTGAGATTGTTTATCTTGGGAATGCGCTGGATGGGGATGCGGGTGAGGGGAGGGTTGCAAAGTTGTCGATCTCGCATGATGGGGAGTATGTTGTGGCTACTGTTTTGGCTGCTGGGTGAATTGTTGGGATCATCAGACTCTGCATTGCTTATTGAGTCTCATTGCAACTGTTGTGGCTGGTGTACTTCGTCTCTGGGACTGCAGCTGCCCCAGCACTGGACGGCGAGCGGTCACTTGCCTGGTACGCATGCTGTGATGGTCCTAGTGTTCCTAGTGTGCAACTACTGGGTAACTACTGGGGATTTATCCCCTTCTAGGGGAGTGGCTATGGAGAAAGTCAAGGCTCTGACATGATTGGCCATCTGGTTCAATTGATCTGGCTCAATGCTTGCAATTGAGTCATACCTTTCGAGACACGTCCACAGCTCGAATGACAGTTTGCTCAGCTGGAAGAAGTCATCATTCGTGTCTGATATAAATGGACTATGTACGCTTGTAGTTAGTGATTGATACCTGGGTAGATGGCGGGGATGGCTGGAAGTAACACCTCATTGGAGTATAAAAGCGAAGATCTAAGGGCCAATCTATATTTGAAATATTCAGAATTATATCCCTAAATATATACACCCATTTATACACTTGTTACTTGATATCTTCCAAGTTACCCCTAACTACCAAGTGGCACTGATATCCTTAGTCTATCAGCATTGGACCTGACTCCCCAACTACTCGAGTAGACGTAACCGGCAGATTCCATGTGTACCAGTCACCTAGGCATGATACCAAACTATCGGTGGGATAAAATGAATGAATAATGGTATGAATTTCTCAAGGAATATGAAGACTTCTAAGAAGCATACCGCTCTCTAAGAGGCGATAGAACATCGAATTCCTATTGATATTCTCTAGAAGACAGCCATTCAATCCACTCCGTCATCTCCATCGATCCGGTCGAGAACTTTCAATTCCTCTCTTCAAATTAATTGATCTCCTTTCAGCAATCAAGAGAAATTGAGCGCAGTGATGAAACGGCAGACTTGTGCATCAAGCACAACATCTTGCATGTTAGGGGGTCGGATAGGAACGTCGAATAGAGCACAATATGGTATTGTCATTGGGGCACCATCGACTGTGGTTTTAGTCACATCCACTTCAGCGCACGAATATGGCTGCTGCATATTGGACGGCTGTTGGAGGGGTGGCTGTTGGAGGAGTATTGGCACGTTACTAGGATTCCGGCGGAGGCGATCAATGTAGGCTCTAGTCAAAAGGTTGGGGGGCATTGGGTGGAGCAAGCTGCCATTGTTCAAAATGTGTAGCGGTCTTCTTAATAGATATGATAACCACTATACGCACTTCTCCATTAGAGGCTCCGAACCACCATTTAGCATTTTTACGTAGTCTTGGTAGGCTCTCAGCTACACCCGTTTCAACCACCATGGTGGGCCATTGTAAGTTGGTACTAGATGGCCAACATGCAGAGGGGCTAAACACTTGGTCTCCCTCTTTATCCCGTAATAGGTATTTGTATCGTGTCGCTCCGCCCCAACAATATTGCTCATCCAGTCCCATACTAGTCAGTTGTAGACCAACTTTCTGTAGGAGTCTCATAGTGGTGTATTCATGGCAATACCCTGGTATCACGCGTATAATACCTATACCATCTTCACTACCTTCACCTTCAAACTCAAACCGGTAGTTCACGCCCTTCAGGCAATCATGGTCCTCGAAGAGTCGCTCGGAGATATAGGGGCTTATTTTAAGGAGAACAAGGAACTGGTTGCCGTTTTCTTCCTCGTCCTTTTCAAGTGTCTCTAAGATATTTTCGGCTTCGAGCTTAACATATTCCAGGCGGCTGAATATGCTGGTTACGATACCAGATGGGAGCGCTGTCATGATGTCAGACATGCGGGGTACGGGTGAAAGAGTTTCGGGAGACATGGCATCAGGAGAAGAAATGGATCCAGGCAAAAATAAAAACCCCCAGAGTCAGCTTGAGGAAGTAGTCAGGAATTGATAACTAGTTAGCGGGTTCTATGTTTAGGATGACATCAAATTTTGTAGAGAACTCACATACTAATCTATTATTCACGTGACTAAACTATGATTACCTGAGTCCGTGCTGACATTTACTCAGTGAGCCTGAGCCTGAGTGCCCTCATAAAAGCGGCAGATCAAATAGGAAAGCCCTACCCGCTAGGGAAAATCCAGTACATATAGTTACATATTCCTCAGTAGAACGTCCTAAAAAGGCAAATGTGAGTATATAACGTGTTTACTCTATGAGTCCTATCTCTCTGCCCATCTAATTCGGCTTTTACTTCGGATATTATACTAACCACGAGTCGCAGTGACATCCACAAAACATGCCATTCTCACATCATAGTCATTCGGGCCAATTCTGCCCTGGCCATGCTCAAAATTCTTTGGAAGATGTGATTCAAACTGCCATCAGCAAGAAGATGCAAGTCTTCTGTCTGACTGAACATATGCCTCGCCATAAAGAAGATTTCTACCCCGAGGAAGTGCGTTAAAGAACACCCTTTGCAGAATCCCGAATTAACCAATCATCCAGGTCGAATCTGGCGAGACAGAGGAAAGCCATGTAGAAAACGAAACCGCTTATTGGAAGGAAGCAGTCGCTCTCCGCGAGAAATATGCCTCCCAGATCAAGATCATCATCGGCTTCGAAATTGACTGGATCCGACCAGCCTCCAAAGATTTGATAGAACGCTCACTTTCACGGTTTCCCTTTGAATTCTTCATTGGCTCGATTCACCATATGCACACCGTGCCCATCGATTATGACCGGCCTATGTACGAGGAGGCTCGGGAGAAAGCCGGCGGAACAGATGAGCGACTATTCGAAGACTACTTTGACGCACAGTTAGATATGTTGGAGCAGCTCAAACCGCTCGTTGTGGGCCATTTTGATCTGATTCGTCTGAAGAGCGATGACATGGAGCGCAGCTTTACTACTTGGCCTGGTGTCTGGAATAAGATCCTACGGAACCTGGACTTCATTGCCTCGTATGGCGGTATGCTGGAGCTCAATTCTGCTGCATTACGCAAGGGAATGAGTGAACCGTATCCTAAAGCGGAGATTTGCAAGGTAAGAACGCAGTCTTTTGTTATGTATCTCACGACTAAATTAATCGGCTTAGGAATTTGTGGCGCGCAAGGGTCGCTTCTGTTTGTCTGATGATAGCCACGGTGTTGAACAGGTTGCTTTGAACTTCCGTCCTGTGCTTGATTTCTTGGATCGCGCTGGTATCTCAACCCTGCATTATCTACAACTGGAAGCGTCGGTGTCATCTCCTGTGTCCGATGCTCGGTTCCCTAACACGCAAATTGTGGATATTTCAGTGGAGGACGTGAGAAAGATGTCATTTTGGTCATGATTATACGATATATGCTGTATATTGATGGGCTTTTGCCTTGTACTATCCTACCCGAGTCAATGTCAGAGAACAGCTTCGGGGTTATCGCGGGGAATGTTTCCCCGCGATAACCCCCCTCCGGGGCATTGAGGGAACAGATAGGATGACCCCTTCTTTAGTCTAAGCGGAAGGGCTCTCAGGGGTCTGATCTTGTTGTATATCATAACACCAGAGATTCCAACCACTCGATGTTCCATGTGGCACCCATAAAACCCACGAATTTCTCCGTCTTACGCAGATCATGTCCCTGTAGGTTGTAGTCTACGCCTGAGTGTTGCTTCCGAGTTATTTTCAGTTATTCCCAGCTGTTTCCGGCTGATTCCCAAGCAAGCCAAGCAACCATCTGGAATTGATCCCAGTTTCAAAGGAGTTCTCGGAGTATTGTACTCCTAAAACTCACCAGAAGTTGTTATTGAGTAGATGAATACCCTGTAAATAAGAATAATCAACCAATAATCAACCAATACATATATCCCAACCAACAATGTCCAAAAGAGTGAAGTTCATTACGTCGTGTCCCGCCCTGGCAAAAAAGTGGATAACCTGCCCCTCCCGAGCTTCTCCCCCCGGTCTTCCTTTTTTGTTTTCTTCTCTTCACATCTCTCACATATTCATCTAACACATATCTATTACATCATGGGCGTTGAAAAGAAGACTCTGGTTGAGGGCAACGGTGTTGACTACCCTAAGAAGGGTGAGCACGTTGCCATCCACTACACCGGCTGCTTGTATGACGCCGAGAAGGCCGACAACCACTTCATGGGCAACCAGTAAGCCAAATCTCCATGTCACGCTGAGGCGGCCCAAATGCTAACATACCAACAGATTCGACAGCTCCCACAAGGCCGGCCGTGGTCCCCTTGCCACCCCCATCGGCGTCGGTCGTCTCATCCGCGGTGCGTTTCAATATATCCTATATCCCAACTGAATCTTCTGTGAGATACATAGCTTCTTTCAGCTTACTAACTTGGTGAATAGGCTGGGACGAGGGTGTTCCCCAGATGTCTCTCGGCGAGAAGGCCATCCTGACCATCAGCTCGTGAGTTGCCGTTTTGAACTTTCCTTGACGCTTTTGCGCCGGTCTACTGAACAATGTGCTAACCTTCGATTCTCGATAGTGACTACGGCTATGGCGATCGGTACGTACCAGCCAACCAAGCCCGATGCTGAATCAACAATCTGTGATTTTCGCGATACTTCCAATCCCTCACAACTCCAACTTGCGCCTTACTTCTCCCTGTGAGACTCGTGCTGATATCAAATCATTTAGTGGCTTCCCCGGCCTCATCCCCGCCAACTCTAAGCTTGTCTTGTGAGTAACCCGTGTATTCTTTTTTACTTCATACTACGAAGCCATAAAGAACAACTAAACTAACTGTTCACAGCGAGGTCGAGCTCCTCAAGGTCGGCACCAAGAGCGTTTAAACCAACCGCTATTCCCGACTTTCTGGTCAGATACAAGATGTGCAAATACCAAACGAAAAAAGAAAAAAAAACGACTTGAATCATTCCTGCTTGTCTCATATGGTCGACAGGCTATTTGAATAGCAAAATCGAAGCTCGCTCTCTTCGCTGTCCATTGATTTGACCCGTTACCCAACGAAGAAAGTCAACTGGACTAGCACTTGTCTACCATCTGTTTCCCGTATTCATGCACACACATACACATACACATACACATCGTAGATGCTTTAACCTAGCTCGCCTTCACCCCCACATCACCGCGCGATGCTATTGATATAATCAATTCCGTCGACACGATACGTGTCAGCCTCGATATAACTCTCATTCCGGGGTAAGCGGAGAACAAAGTTCGTGGCCCGGGACGAATACTGGGGCCATTTGGCAATAGCAGACACTAGAAGGCAGTCAGCTTCCAGCCAATAGAATCTAGCCACACGCATATGCTACTAACCACCATGTCCATTAGGATCTAGGTCTGCCACAAATGATGTCCACATCCGCGCTGCCATCTGTCCCAGTTCCAAGCGCGCAGGATCAGATCCCAGCGGTGTGATGCTTTGCACTGGATTTGCAAAGACGAAAGGGATCTTTAAGCCAGATACAAGCGTCAGTTCATCTTACAGGCTAGAAATTTGGGGTAGTATCCCAAGACAAGGTGGATTACTACAGGATTTTACTACATACCTCTGCAAAGTGTTGCACCCCGATCGTGGTTGAGCTATTCAACGCCGCCACATCCCATCTGTAGGAATATACATTGTCGCGCCAGCTGGCCATCCGTTGTGCTAGCAAGCGCCGTGGCGCGACCATGGTCACATCCCCGGCCATGGACGCATAGCGCTTGTACATACGTCCCAGCGAGGGCCAGGTGGTATTTCCCCAACCATAGGGGCAGCCGATGGCGGGGATATTGGGGTAATAGGATAGCAGCTTGGTGGCTTGGGAACGGTCCAGGACCCATCGCTTGGATGCTGTGGCACTCGCTTAACACGTTGTCATAATATGTGACGGTAGGTATGATATGCAATATCACTTACTAGTCAATTGATTGATACAGTCCTCGTCGGTGTTTGTGCCTGTCGTCCCAAAACTGGTGCCTTCGTCGGTATTCGTTCCTATCAAGATAGGTACCCGGGCTAATTTGCCTTGTCTGTAGCTGATTTGCGGATACTGGGCTATGAATGAGCCGTCGACAGTAGCAAACCATTCTAGACCCTCGTTTGCTGTATCGTATAAGGTTGCGTAGGGTAGTTCGCGGAGACATTGTAGGGTATTCGTTGAATTGGTGCATCTGGGGATAATATATCAGTGTCTGTGGATAAGACTTGTTGAACATTGACTTACCCGGCTCTCTCGACAATTCGGTTATACATTGGCTGATGCCATTCTGTTCCGTTGTATGGGGGCCCAACGGCATTTCCGGAATCCATGATTGCTAGTTGAGCTCAGTCTGGTGTTATAAAGGCAAAGTGGTAGGAGTGAACTATACCAGCTCTAAAAAGACCCTCATTATCGCCATTGTTGGTTACCAAATGGGCTCCGACACTATATGCACCACTGTTTATTCGAGAATCAGCATTTGATATACTGAAAATGTATTTCCAGAGACACACGCGGACTCGCCCCAGATAGTGATCTTGCTCGGATCACCACCGAACGCTTTGATATTCTTCTTCACCCAACGCATAGCCGTGCGTTGGTCCCGCAGTGCGAGATTAGTGTTTCCTTCTGCCTGGAGTCCAAGTTAGTCTTGAGAATCTGCCACATCCAAGTCTGTATACAGTGGTCTTACCCTTACTTCCTCCGAGTCAAGGAATCCGAATGCCGCCAGGCGGTAGTTGATAGAAACACCCAGGACTGGCTTGCCGTTCAATGCGCTCTGCTCAACGATATAGCTCATATTGTATCTGTGGACAGTGTAGCATACGGTTAGCCACAGCCATCGAGCATTTCCCGGTATGTCCTCGACCAACATACCTCGGATCCGCAGTAGCGCCCTGTGTCCACCCGCCGCCGAAAATCCATATCATAACGGGAAGCAATTCGGGATTCTCGTCTGTGTTGGGTCGTATTATATTCAAGTTAAAGCAGTCTTCATTCAAAGTGATAACACCGTTGTTAACCATGTTGGTGGTATCAGATCCATACCCAGGACAGTCATAGCCGTACTCCGTAGCATTGTAGTATACCGAGTTGGGAGTAGTACTCAATCCTAATTGAGATAGATTGTAAGTTCCAGAATTACTATCCTTAGATGCATAAGCGCTCTTAAGCTCGGCTGGTGTGAAGCGGATTGGCTCGTCGGCATACTTGATGCCCAGGAAGAGGTCCTGGTTGAACTCTGGAAGAGAGCGGCCCACAAAAATTGTCTTTGGGCTTTCGTTACTTGTTGATAGGATTGCTGTTGGGGGATTTGTTGTAGTTCCTGTTGTTTTAGATGAGAGGGAGTTGGCTATTGCCGCGCATATTATAGGGAAGAAGGAGGTAGAAAGGAGTATGGAGGTGCTTATTATCGACCGCATCTTCAAAGTTTTAAAGCTCAAGCTGAGCTAAAAGGTAGGGGTTAATTCTCTCTTATATAGTTCGTTTTCTACCAATTAATCTAGGCCATGGAGAATTAGACATCCTCTTGTCCGGGAAATTGGAGTCCAAATTGAAGTAACCCAACCCCACTAACTATGGGATGAGCTGTGATATTTGCTACAAGGCGTGCTTATAGGTGGGAAAATAAAGGATAAACCTCGGACCAGATCCTTTTAGCGTCTGAACTATACACTATACTCCTATAGAAGTAGTCAATTACGCTAAAATAAAACGAAAAGTAGCTCGACGTATATCACTGAGCAAGTAGTCTGTCTATTTGGAAGATGAAGAAAAAAAAAAAAAAAAGCGTTGAAGATATTGTACAGCCAATATGTCAAGGAGAAGAGAAAATAAGGGGCAATGCTTCCATTCAGTCCAATCCGGCACACAACAGCCTGGCTATTTGAAAATATTGGCCGAATATTCAATCCAATGAGCTGGATGCAAATGACAAGGTAGAAGTCTAATATCCTGGCCTATCTATACCTCTCATGCACGCGACGCTCCAATGCCCAAATGTTGATATAGCATGACATTAGAAAATGGCAACGCCCAAGTGGGAACAAAAGTACCAAGCCGCTCAGGGAAAAGAAAAAAAATGTAGAAGAAAAGAAGAAAAGAAGAAAAGAAGAAAAGAAATGCAAGAAACTTGAACTCCGAAGAATACAAAAACGGGGAGACTCTTATAATGTACGCTTGGAAATTCAAACACGTTAATCATCCTTAACTCGATCGCCATAGGCGGATGAACCAGAGCCCGAACCAAATCCAGCTGCACGAGACCTGCTCGCTGCCACCGCCGAAGGACTATTGTATCGATTAGATGAGGATGAGGATGAGCTGGTCTGTAACTCAGCCCTCCGCGATGCACCCTTGAGCGGACTGGGGGAGTTCCGGCCATCCACAATCCCATCATCAAGCTCAATTAGGTCGTCCATCCGCCACATATTGCGACCCCTGCTGCTACCCTGCTGGGTGGGTGAGCCCTGCTGCAGCTCATTGATGCCGGCCTTAGCGCGCGTTGCTACCTTTCGAACCCACCCTTCAAAAGCCCCACCAATGTTCTCAAGGCCAGTCGATGCATTGGATGGGACAGTGGATGTGGAGTCAAAAGAATTTGTCCGGAGATTTTCTGGGGGTTGGGCCGGTGTGAGATTTGGCATGTGCTGTGCGAAGAATCGGGTGAACCCATCTAACGCAGGCCCTGGACCAGTCGAGGTGGGGTCAAGCGTTCCCACCCCAGTGGCAGACAGGTGGATACTACTGCGCTGGCGGCGATGCTGAGAACGAGCGGGGTGTGTGGCTCTGGGTTTGGGCTGGTCGCCATTCGGTCGAGTTCGTGGTAGTATGCCAAAGGACGAAGGGGGAGGTGGTGAGCCGGTAGGAGACGGAGGAGTGACTGTTTCTCGGTAAAAATCGGGAGGCTCTGCATCCGAATAAGATATAGATTTTCGACGCGTACGCGGAAAGAACCCCAATGCTCTCCGAGGAACACGGCCAATTTGCACTGGTCCGGGAAATCCATCCATGTGTACCCACGATTCATGCTTCCAAGCATGATTGCCATCGGCCCCAGACGCGGTTGCGGGCGTATCCTGTTCAGCTGAGGTATCATCGATCGAGGCAGCCGTGGGGGCTATCGAGCTGTCGCTGGGGTCTTCGTCATTGTCATTCAAAAGGTCAACAGGCGCTCTGGGAACAGGCCGGCCTTTTACAGAGCACGCATCGACTGGTAAGAGAACAGTGTTTCTGCTCTGAATGTTGTCGTTGGGCCAGAAACCGTTCGCCTTCCGAAACACTGCAGGGTGGCAGGCATATTTGATCGTCACGCCGGTGATGGTGTCTGTGGGTTGCACTTTGTGGATATAGGCCAGAGCGTCTTTATCGTGCTCCGGCTCAATCGCTTGGTATGAAATGTCGCCAGAGTCGCGTCTTTTGTGAGGGAGCGTACGGCTTGCGATCGGGTCACTATCAGCGAGGAGCAGCGCTTCTCTCTTTTTGGCCTGCACCAAAGCCTGTCGCTCCTCCTTTGTCCCGGTTCCGAACTGCGGAGCGGTCGGCGCCGACGGACCCCAGGTCGACCTGGGGGCACTCTTCATATATACATCAGACCGAGATGGTTTCCTTCGCGTGTGTGTCTTTGTCACATTATTGGGAGTGGCTTGCCCGGCATCACCCCCGAGTACTGAAGACGCCAGGCTTTGAAGAGAGGACCACGAGGAGTCCAGAAAGTCCGCAGCACCTCCCCCCGACGAGGCCTTTGATGACCCACTCCAAGGAAACGATGTTGGCCCACTGCGAGTACCACGATTGATCGATTCGGTCGCGCGTGAAAGGTGCTTCATTGGAAGTGGTGACGCTCCACGGGATGACAATGGCGAGGGAGTCGCTCCGCGGGACCGAGTCGTTCCACCCTCGGAGGGCGCAAGGGTCGTTGACAAA